ATTAATACTGTTTTTAAAATGCAACAATACACTATTTAAATAATAATAATTAATATATTGTACCTATAGGTACTGTAAACATTATTATTATATTTCATTARGTTGATACATAGTTTCATGATTAATATTTTCTAAAATAAATATATGATATCAATATGTTACACGACTATAGTTCGTTAAAATTCTGATTAATGTCTTATGAATAAATTATGATCGAAAGCAAATCAATTGTAGGTATACCTAATATAAATAATACCATATTTATTTACGTGTAATTTTATAATTTTATACTTTGATAATCAATTTATGAAATAAACATTTTAATACATTTCTCAAGTTAAGATTGGTATTTTTAGTTTTTAGGAAGTACTATGACGTAATTATGGTAATATTATCTAAACTCTAAAAGGCTACGTTTAGATAAACTTAATACTAATACATATTACAATTTTATAATGAGTATATTATATGATTTGTAAATTTCAATTTAAAAAAATTGATTATTTAGATATAATATGAAGAGGAAACCAAAGAAGAAAAAGGTAGATGGATCGAATAAAGATTGACACAGAAATAGCTGGTGTGAATAGAGAAGGTATGAGCATTGATTAAATATACAATATTTATATTTTTATATTTAATCAATGGTATGAGGGTATAGATTCCTATGAAGGTTGTTATTGACCTCATAATATATACGTAGTTGGGAGTGAAGGGCTAAGAGACAGGAGGATATATTATAAGAAGATAACTATAAATAAAATTTGAGATTTGTTGACATTGATTTATAACGATAGTTTTAATTAGTTTTTCTTTACGTAATAATTTTAATTTAATATAATATAATCTGTCTATATACCTAACAAACGTGTTAAAGTTAATTTTTCAAAATATATTTGTATACCTATTAGTTACCTACTTATAATACTTCTGACTTCGATAGTTGGTACACGTCTTGAGTATAAAATAAAATTGTGTATTTATATTTATTATGTATATTTATATCATCAGATAATCATATAATTTACCTTTGATTAACGTAGTACAATTATAGATTCGGCTATCAAACATTCAACGATGTACCTAYTGTATTTTGGTCGCTGGTAATAGGGTTCCACCTGCGAAAGACGTAAATTAAATCTTGAAATTAAGTATTCATAACATTATATTACTCATATTTTCAGTGTAAACGTGTATATATAGATACAAATCATATTGCACACTATATAGTGTACAACTGTAAATTTTTTTTTTGTCGGCTGGTCGTTAACCTTAATTGTCTATTAGTTTGAATATGTTAACCTCGTTGATCATAATATAAATCTAAGTCAACACATATTATGATGTCTTGATAAGTGTGATGCTATGATAGACTCTGTTTACAATTCAACCTGTAAATGCATTGGCACCAACATTCAAGTRCTGCTATATAGGTAAGAAACCGCTGCAGTATAGGCAGTATAATATCATTGTCTGCATGTGTTTGATATTTTATTATTTTTAACTCTATCCGTAATTAATGTAATAACAAACATGGTAGTTGCATTTATCGTTCTGTTAATTGTTATACCTAATAAAAACATCGAAAAGGTGCAGTTTGACACCATTGCGCAGACTGCAAGCCTCAATAAGTAATGATAATATTTTAATCATCATTTATCATTTATCAACATTTATCTGGATCCCCGTCAAAAACTCATAAATATGCTACAGGTTTAACATGCATAATTTCAAACGTACATATTATAATAATTTATAATTAATTGGTACAAATATTATATAATTTGGTAATATGGGAGTTCTCGTAGTGGGAGGGGGGTGTCATATTATCTGGCTCGGTTTTTTTTTTTAATCTATCATCGGTTCTTCATTAACATGGTTTGATTTATTGTAAATATATAATTTCATTATGGTTTCTACATTAATTTTTGTGTGATTTTTACAATTTAAAAACGCTCATACCTATTTCACCATAAAATTGATATATCGTTAAAAAAGAGGAAATGATTTTTCAAAATTGTATTCTATGTGAAACAAAATATGTTAAATTATTTCGGTAGGCACCTATTTGAATTTTTAAGTTACTGTAGCAACATTAGTAACTCACTATATCATCTGCAGTTAAATAAAAAAAATACAATTTTTTCATATTAACTGTATTCTATTTCCTTCAGAAAACTTATTTCGAACTGAAGTAGTTATAATTTATAGTATTAGGTACATAAGTATAAGTAAAAATAACTATTCTTTTTACGAAGCTAAACGTTTAGAGGCGTTTTTTTGAATATTTTTTTAATATCGCCATATTTTGAAATACAATAATCTATTTTTTCTCAAATTCCTAATAACCTTTATTTCTGTTTAAAGTTAATAAAGCAAATAACAATTCAACGTTCCGAACTATCGTTTCTTAACAACGAATCAGATAATATTATTTAGTTACATATATACATGATGACTCGATTTTTTCAAACAAACAAATTGACCAATGATTAAATATTATTTAATAATAATAACATCGCCCTACAACACCCACCCCACTTCATAGTACCTAATAGGTACCTATACTAACCAATCACTTTGTTTTCATCCGCTCCTGCAGAAGTGYGTAGTCGACCTATGGGCTATGGGTATTTAGTAGTCGGGTATAAAATAATATATTGTTATTATCRTAATTATTATTATTTTGAGTATGGCCAAATCTATTATGTAGGCTATATGCCGCTGAATAAGCCACACGACACGCATTCGACGGAGAAGGGTTTGGTGTGCGCATGCGTATAACTGCAGTCGGCGAAACGGATAAAATACCGATACCGGATCGTGCAGCACCAGTGTGGTAGCGTGACAACCGCCGAGTGGAGTTTGTCTTGAGCCGAACCTTACTTCGACACATCGCAATTCGCTAGGCCACGTGCTCGTCATTCAACAAATAATATTACGCTGCAACCGAATATCGTAACTCGTAAGTCTTTTTTTCGCATCTAAGTCGCCTGCTATGTTAGTTTTATAACATTATTCATATGATATTATTGTTGACATGTTACTAACACGAATACATATGGGACATTATTGGGACGTATTATAAGTACTTAGGAAAAAACATGATTCAAATACATTTATATTTTATATACATATATYACATAATATATAATTTTGAATATCATATAACTTTTTTTTATATTCATAGACATTCGAATTGGAACTTACTTTTTAGGAAAATAAAAATATACTTAWAGTTTATTATTTATTGCCATTTATATTTTAAAAACCAACTGGTTACAACTTAACTTAAGGATATATAGGTTTAGTATCAAATAAATAATAACCAATGTATTATTGTAATWAACTATTTATTTTATCCAAAAAGTTTAGTGTTAAAAATAATAATATAAATATCCGAAAATCATTTGAATGTATTCTTGGAGAGAATTAAATTCAAAAATATATAGGTATTCATGAAAATTCAAGTAAAATATCGTCTATTAAAAAAATGCACGTAACTGGGTACATTTTTACATGTTTAGTTTATTTTCATACATTTTTAAGAACATATATTATACACAATAACT